ACCAACCCATACGCCGGTTTTTGGAGAGGAGGACTCCCGAGTTCGTTCCAGAACGCCTCGCTAATTACCGTCACGGAAGCTCCTGTATCCACTAACGCGAGCGTGTCCGCCGTTTGGATACGGACCTGAACCAACGGGGCGTTCGGATTGGAACCCACTTGGCACACCCTTTGGTCTGGTCGAGGGAATGGTGCTACCATTGAAAGGAGCTCGTCATCGTTTAGGCCCAGGAACGGCAATTCGACCATCGGGGCCCCTAGATAGGTGGTTTCGACGTCGAGGGGCTCGAGGGGATTGTTTGAGTCAACGACACCCGGGGAGAGAGACTCCGGGGTTTGCGACCGGCCGTCAGGGGTGGCGAGGGTGCTTTCAATGTGATGGCCCCCGAGGGCGAGGTCCAGGTAGTGGCGCCGAGATGAGAGCGTCCTGCGACGGATGCGCCAGATGGCCGAGGGTAGTCGTGTGAGTTCCAAGTCCCTTAATGTAGGGTGAAAGAGGTCCTGTCGTCGGTTAAGTGGTACTGTACGACTCGGTGGACTTTGACCAGTTGTCGAGCAGGTAGGCGGGGAATTTTAGTACCGCCGATAGGTAGGACGTCACCCTCGGGTGGCGTGCAATCGGCCTCAGGGATGGGTCCAAAGCCGGGTAGCTCGTTTGAGGCCAGGTTTTTTCGCTGGAAACGTGACCACTGCGTGTCGGAAATGATCGCCACTCGCGCGTTTTCGAAGTTGCGGTTAGCCGTCCGGGCCTCGTCGCATGTTTCCAGGGTGCTGGAGAACCAGTCGAGCCAGCGATCGGGATCGTCGATGTTCGAAGGCGACTCGAAGAGATGCGCGTCGTCCCGTGTCAAGGGCCGGCGAAGGGCCATTGTAACCACCTTGACGATATCTTCCTGAGTGGCATCCTTTCTTTCTTGTTTGAGTCGGACGAGCTGACGTTCCAGGTCGGCTGGTGAGACAGGGTACAGACGCTCCTCGATATCTACGTGCCGAGCCTCGGGGATGCCCGTTAGGTCGCCCCGCATGATTGCTTCGATTTGGCCTTCCGTAAAGACGGGAGTCACCCCGGGAGAAGGTCCAGTTTCGTAACCAGGGGTGGTTGCCAGGTTCGTGGGCGTCCCTGACGTTGCCGAATGCGGTCCGGGCGTGGCGGGAGGTCTAAGCTTCTTTGACCTCCGGTTTTTGAAGCTCTGAATCCCAGGGGTAGTTGTAGTAGTCGTGGCCCGCGAAGTGGCTGTTTTCTGGGAGCGCACGGCTGCCTTGAGGCCGGCAGGCCGGGTGTCAGCCTTCGCGTTCGTAAGGGGCGAGGGGATCGTAGCGCCTTTAAAGCTTGCTGGGTCAACCGCTTGCGAGCGCGGTGATTTGGTGTTGGTGTAAGTTTCATTTGGTTGTTGTGTTATACTTGTCAGCAGGGTCGCGTCCAGCGGGAGCCCTGGAGTATTGTGTGCTTCATCGGTCAGGTATTCGATCCGTCTGATACCGAGAGCTTGGTCGTCATCGTTAGTAGGGGACTCGTCTCGTCCGGTCTTAGTAGTCATGTCATCTACGGAGTTTGGATCTCCTCTGGTCATAAGGCACTCCTGGCCTTGTAGTCTTGTTTCAGAAGCACCCTCGTCCGGGTCTTCGTAGCTCCCTTCCATGGCTCGGGGAGCTGCCGAAGTTCCGTGTAACGGTGGCATCATAGTCTTGGTTGTGGCTGTGGGCGTAACCCTGGGTTTACTGTTCCCGGGGCTGCTGCTCACAGTCTTGGTAAGTGTCAGTTTCTTCTTGTCAGTATCGGGAGTCATTTTAGGAGTCACTTTTGACGCCACGCCACTCCCGGCGGCTTGGTGTCGAC